GATAGCTCTCAGTAACAGTGACACAGCAGCAGTGATGAAGACGCCGCCTCCGTCACGATCTTATTCGTCATCATGGCAGTCTGCGTCCTGGTAATAGCCAATCAGGTGGCTCCTGTGAAATGCACTGCTTCCGTGATAGGTTCCCTATTGTTTTGATTGACTGCACCTGGGGGCCGGTCACTTCATCTGAGCCCGATCAATATGCCATCACAGTGGCTTAGCTGCTGCTCTGAGACCAAACACAGGTCATCTGTGGAAAACAGTCCTCGTGTCTGTGTGTGCTTCAACCTCTGGTCCTCGGCCCCAGCTTGTGATCCAGATTAATAATCCCATCATTTGGATTAGTGCAGTGTTTCTCACCTGTCTTTATCAGACTAATAGAAGTGTCCATCTATCTGTTAGTCACAGATAACGACCAGTGAGAAACACTGACCTCTATCTGCTGACGTTGGTACTGTCTGATGAGCAGGAAAGAATTGAGTCATATTTAGAGATTTGTATTATTATCAGATAATCATGATTAATCAAGATTCGTTGTGATTCATTGTTTTGACTTCTGTACATATTTAAATGTGTCATGTTTTAATGATAACCTTTAATATGGAACCAGAATGAATGACTGTGATTAATGGAGGCTGTGACTGTCAGTGTCTCTCGCCCTCTCCCTCTCTCTCCGTTTGAGTACTCCTGATATGAAGTAGTCAAAGCCCTCATTACCAGCACCAGGTACCGGTACTGTTGATGGTTCCTGCAGGGCTGAGGAGAACGGTTCTTTACCTCCTGAGTGAAGAACAAAGACCATCATTCTATGTTTGAGCCTGAGCTCCTCTTGTCTGCTGCTGATGTGGTTGGACACCTGTCACCAAATTATTTTTGGCAGCTGTGTTGGCAGTGGCTGAATGATGAGTGACAGGAAGTAGCTCTTCATATTAACTCTGGGAAAAAAAGGTTTCCACAAGAACGTCCTCTTCATCTGAGAACTTTAAACTCTCAATGTAGTAAAAGCTCGCTGTTGTAGAAAAATACTTGAACAGTGAAAAGACGATACACGTGTGAACCCCCCCCAAGTCTGACGGTGAAACAGTTCTGTTAGTTTGTCTCCAAACAGCCCCACGTTAACTGCCCCAGGTTTACTGCCCCAGGTTAACTGCCCCAGGTTAACTGCCCCAGGTTAACTTCCCCAGGTTGTTTCTCTACAGAATCCTAGTGTAGTTGAAGAACAGATTTAATTGAATCAGAGAAGAAGAAGATCCTGATGATGATGATGATGATGATGATGATGATGATGATGATGATGATGATGATGATGATGATGATGATGATGATGATGATGATGATGATGATGATGATGATGATGATGATGATGATGATGATGATGATGATGATGATGATGTTCATTAGTTCATTAATTAATTATTAAAGAACATGATTAAACGTATTATTTCAATAATGAACTGAATAGTTTGGACATAAATACATCATTACCACAGTTTAATAACGTGTGCACGTGACTCCCCTGTCTCTCTAATATCTCACCCACTACAGGGAACTGTGTTCACTAACAGGCACTGTGTCCTCCATTCCTGCAGGTGGCGGTACAGGCAGCCAGCAGACCTTTCTCCATGAGGAGCAGTAGAAGATGCCGGCTCTGCCAGCACTGTTGCTGTCAATACACTTTCTTTCCTTCCTACTAGTCATCATGCCTCCACGCTCCCTCAGCCAGGCCCCCCTGCTCTCCTCCGTCCGCATGGGTGAGTTACTGCACGCTCAGAAAGTTCCAAGACACGTGTCGTTGGTTCAGAACGTGTTTGATTTGTCATCGTCATGTGATGAGCTGGTAACTCTGCTTTGATCAGGTTTTGAAAGTTACAATTTAAAAATTAAAGTTTGACAAAAGGTTCAGATCTAGAACCACCTGACCATCATTGGACCAGACAGAGGACAGAGGTCGTGACCTGGTGTCAAAGGTCATCCTCCGGAACAGAGACAGCGCTGTTATACTGAGAGCTGGTTTTTATTGTCGTTGTTGTTAGAAATACTCTCAGCAGTAATAATACTTGTACTGTAGTAGTACTTTTAGTCCTTTAGTAGTACTACTGTTTGGTAAATACAACTACAGTATCATTTAGTGTAAACATTCTGACCATCGTCCTTTCACTCCACTTGTTGACTGCAGCGGCGATCCTGGATGACCAGTCTGTGTGTGGGCGGGGGGAGCGGCTGGCGCTGGCACTGGCCAGAGAGAACATCAACAGCATGATGGAGGGTCCGGCCCGGGCCAGGGTGGAGGTGGACATATACGAGCTGCAGAAAGACTCCCAGTACGACACCACCGACACCAGTGAGTGGAGCCTGTCTCACACACACACACACACACACACACTGATGGAAGTGTTTGTCCTACGCCGTCGTCCTACAGGAGGAGGTGACGTAGGACCAAACATTTGTTCATTTTAATTGAACGTGAGCTCCAGTCTGCCAACCACACAATTAGAGTGAAACCTCTTAAAAATCAATGTGCAAACAAGTGAATAATAGCAGAAGGCCACCCGGGGGGGGCGCTCTGCTGCGTCCCCAGAGAACTTATAAATCTGAGGAGACGGGGACAGATCGTCCTGCTACCACTGAATCAGTGGCTCAACTCAAATCACATCAACACCTCTGGAGGGGTTTTTAGGGACTTTCTGCCCTGACTGCCCCCCACCCTCACCCCCGCCCCTGCCCCTGCCCCTGCCCCCGCCCTGTAGCTTTGTTCTACCATGATGAGGTGAAGCAGCAGAGAGATGTGTTTGTATTTATATTTGTCTTCTTCTTCTCTCTTTAGTGTGTCAGATTCTACCCAAAGGCGTCGTCTCTGTGATAGGTCCTGCTTCTAGCCCCGCCTCCGGCTCTACTGTCAGTCACATCTGTGGAGAGAAGGAGGTAAGAGGGGGCAATAAACAAACATGTGACAGAGGGTGAAGTGGACCCACGTTATTATCACATATAAAAACCTGTATTTATTTATATATGTACACATATAGAACTGTGTGTGTGTATATATTCACACGTACATATTTATATATAAAAATATATAAAATGATAATATATGATATCTGACACGTTACATTTAACTTTGTTCTTTTTCTTCTCTCCCTCACAGATCCCTCACATCAAGATTGGTCCTGAAGAAACTCCACGCCTGCCGTACCTGCGCTTCGCCTCCGTCACTCTGTACCCTAGCAACGAGGACCTGAGCCTGGCCATAGGAGCCATCCTGCGCTCCTTCAGTTACCCGTCAGCCAGCCTGGTCTGTGCCAAGGCCGAATGTGAGTACACACACACACACACACGCAGCCCGTTGTACTGTAGTACTGTAGTACTGCACGTCTGGCGGTCTTTATTTGCGTAGGTGTAAACAGCAGCTCTGGTCTCTGGGGGGCGACGTCTGTTGTACACACTGTGTTCTGGTGTTTGTGTGTGAAGCTCTGCTGCTGACCGCTGGGTTCTTTACTCTGTGACTGGTCCACACTGTCAAAGAACACACCGTATTGAACCAGGTCAGAGGGCCTGGAGAATCCTGGAGAATCCTGGAGAATCCTGGAGATCCTTTAAGATGTTTGACCTCTGATCTAAGGAGCTAAAGTATTAAATCTAAGAGGGATCTACATTTGGAATCACTAGAGAAGAAAGAAAAGAATAAGAACATGATGTTCGACCCAGGATCTATTTATAGCTGTGAACTTCGACCCCCCCCCCGACCCAGGATCTCACACCTGATGAGGTGAGGACGTAATTCTTTTTTTCCCCAGACAGAGTCCATTCCCCTCCTTTTTCAAGGCTCTCACGGAGCAGATGAATGGTAGCGACTGTTAGCTGTTAGCTGTTAGCTGTTAGCTGATTCATGCTCCATCCTATCAGGAGGTCCGGGGCTCAGCTTTTCACACAAGAGTCGGTGAATAATTGGCACACGGTTCTGTGTGCCTGAGGATGAGTGCGTTCACCACCAGGGGACGACAGCGCTGCAGCTGGAGGGCACTTGGAACGTGTCACGCTGGTTGGTCGACACCCGGTCACGTGACGGTCTGTGTTGACGGTGGATTTGAGCTGTGAAACCCAGTCCTGCTCTGGTCCGCTCCAAAGCATGAAAGCCAGTAGATCAGGTTTGGATGCAGCCCATCTGGGCCAGAAGACGCAGCATTTGTTGCAGGAGAGATGAAAGTGTGTGTGTTAGTGTGTGTGTGTGTAGAATATTTGTCTTGAAGGTGATCTTTCCAAGGTTATCACGCTCACAGACTCTGACCCACTTGGCTGCACCATCTATCGCCATGGAGCTGGTTGCCATGGCTGCAGAATAGGTGCTAACTGCCACTCAACAGGCTTGTTTCACCGACTGAATGATTGTGTGAGTGTGTGTGTGTGTGTGTGTGGGCGTACAACATATGTGTGTTTGATGTTATATTTTGCTCCTGCTTCCTCTTTGACTCCACATCTGACTATGTTTAGTTGAAGGATGAGAGAGAGAGGGGGAGAGAGGGGGAGGCTTTGAACTGAGTGAACACACTTCCTCAGTACTTGTGGGCAGATTTGGACCGATCTGTGCTGTTCTTCTGCGGCACCGCTCCGGTCCAACGTCAGACAATGTTTACCTCCTGTTTACCCCACTGTGCTGAGACTGAAGTGAACATTCAGGCGCCACCTGTTGGCCAGACGTTAGCTTCACTTCATCATCATGGAGCGTCATCCTAATGAAGTCCTCAATGAGAATGGCTGCACATTTAAACTAACAGTCCTGGTACTGCTAATGTCAGTGCTAACGTTAGCTACAACAGTCCTGGTACTGCTAATGTCAGTGCTAACGTTAGCTACAACAGTCCTGGTACTGCTAATGTCAGTGCTAACGTTAGCTACAACAGTCCTGGTACTG